GAACTAAATTATCCCAGCAGGCAGCATACCCTCTCTTGTGGATTAAAGTATGAGAGATTTTTCAATTCATGGTGCACCCTCTTTCCCCCTCTCTCCAATTTTTTTTTTAAAGATAAAATGGCAAAATGTTAGGGTAGGTGGATAATACTTTGTTTTACTTTTATTTTTTTTTGGGGGGGGGGGAGAGGTTAACCCCCCCGAATTCATTTTTATAAAGATAAATTGGCAATACGTTTGTGTAGGTGGGTGATAGTTTTTTTTATTTTAATTGATTTTGGGGAAGGGGGATCCTCTCCTCCCCCCTTCCCAAAGTTTTTTTTAAAGATATAATGGCAATATATGTTTGGGTAGATGGGGGAAATTTTTTTGGGAGAAGGAAAGCAGTATTTTATGTCATTTACCTGTTTCTCTAGTTACTTTTTTGTTCAAAACTTGATTTTTATACAAAATTTATTAACATTTCTTTTATTAAAAAACTGTTTATATATTCAATAATGAGGAAATAAGAACAGAACCAATTTGAAACAAAATACATTTTAATGTCTAGGAACAAAATAACATTACAAATGACACATATGTGTTTGTTTTTTTTAAATGCTAAAGCCAAAGAAATTAAAGTAATAGGAATTTCATTAATATTCATTTCCACAAAAAAAGAAAGATCACCGTCAATATTATATCAATATTATATCAAACTGATATAATATTGACTCCTGTGAGGTATCTCTTCAGTATATTACCATCAATAATATTGACCATGTAAGGAGCCCTTTAACTACACATTTCACTTAGACTCATTTTTGAAAAATCATCCTATCCCATCATACTTCCTTACTAACGAATTATTTATTCAAACATTTGTCAATTGTTAATTTTTATTATAACGGTAATTATTCTGTTCGAAAAATTAAGAAAATGATGTTTGAGTCATCCTTCAATACCAATTAAAAAAAAATGTTTTTAGGAATTAAATTTTTATTGACACTTGCTTACAATTAGTAGTTGTAAATAAGTATTTACCATAGTGTATTATCTTTTATAACTGTACATAAAAGATTGTTTTAATCATTTGAATAATTAATAATCTGAAGTTGTCTATTATATTGGTTTATTTTCAATAATCAACCATTGTGATCGACCAAAAAATTCAAAAACATAACCCCCTCTCAAAATTTGAGGTTTCACATTTCACGATGCGTAGAATTCGAAAATCGAATAAAATTTTTTTTTATCCATCCACCGTCCGCGCATTTTCTCCGAAACTACTGGACCGATTTTTTTCTAATTTGGATATAACATCAGAGGTTACCCCAGGATGATCTCCCTTCATCGACATTACTATCCGCCTTACACTTTCAAAATGACGGCCGAAAAATCTGCGTTGCTATAGACTGTAGCTCCTAAACGAACGTACCGATTTCAATGAAACTTCACTGAGGACATTTTTCGACGCCTTTTAAACGTATCTATATTTTTTTTATTAACTTATTTTTTTATTAACTTTATTTATTCACCCACACCTGTCATATGCAATGACAATTAGCGGGTCTGCTGTCGGTAAGTGTTAATCTATATAATATACTTCAACGAAAAGAAGCTGCAAAAAAAAAAAAAAGTTACGAGGGATGGTAAAATTAACTTCCGAATAACTCAAACAGTTTACACTTTTTTGTAGGTATTGTATGTGATTTTTTAAAAGTTTAAGAAATTTCCTAAAAAATCGTTAAAATCGGACAATTAGGAGCAAAGATATGGTCTCCGGTTTTTTTTTTATATATGTTCTACTCCAAATGTTATATCCTTTGTTTGGTTTTTAAATTTTGAATGTGTTACGGAAGTAATGCTATTTTTTTAACATATTACTAATGATTAAAAAAAACATTTTTAGCCCAATAATTGGAATCACCTTTCATTTATTTTTCTTTGTAACTAGGAAGGTAATGTTACTTTAGATGTATAATTGTTTGGAAATAATAAATTATTGTGAAATAATTTGCAGCATTTTTTATTCGTTATTCGTGTTTTCCCAATAAAATTTGGAATAATTGAATTTTAAAATTCTTTTAGCAAGCCTTTTTTTTTTATATTTAATAATTGACCGTTGCATTATAAAGGAAGGAGATGGTCCGGTGTGGCGGTCATAAATAGGCTGAATAGAGGCAAAACTATTTTATTAAAAGCCAATGTTTCGACCCGACTTTGCAGGTCTTCTTCAACCAGGAGTTCACTTAAAACTCTTCTAACCAGTTCTAAGTGAAACTCCTGGCTGAACACACGTCCCTGAAGGAGGTCTGTAAAGTCGGGTCGAAACGGTGGCTTTTAATAAAATAGTTTTGCCACTATTCAGCCTATTAATGACCGCCACCCACGACCATCTTCTTCCATTTTTTATATAACTGCGCAATCTTCTGTCTAGTTTATTTAACCTTTTCGATTTCTTCAATATAAACTTCACTATTTTCTATTTTAGGGTGCTTTTTATGAAAATACTGTCTGATTTGAGATTGCGTATCAAGTATATGAAACTTTTCGAATTTCTCCCGAATATAAGTGACACTATTTTGTTGTAGTGTTGTAACTTGAGTAATCTAATCATTTAATAAGCATCTTGAGCGCTGGAAGATATAATTAAATTGACAACATGTATAGAATTGTAAACATATTTACAATGAAAAAATTAACACATTCAAAAGATAAAACTGTATCATATCGTAAAACTGTACATAGTTAAGAGTATAAAAGTACTTTAATTAGTAACTGACTCAAGAGATCAATCGTCTTCGTTCTCTTTCGTATAAATCCGGACGCATTCGGCACTTCATGAATAAATGTGACGGAGGTGATTGTGAACAACGCGTAATCCCTGCGGAAATCGTATATACTAGTACCTCAATGGAGTTTGGAGGATTTAGACCAACGTCGAATCAAGGGAACTGAGCAAGAACCCTTATACTAAGTAATCGAGATATCTTGGAGGACCATAGGTGATAAAATGTATGTTATCAGAAGAATGAGAATTACTATGCTTGCGATGTATGGATGATCGTCGAACGGTGCCAGAGCTATACTGAGTTTTCGAAGACAGCAACAGCAAACAGAAATAAAAGGCAGGCCAAATTGCAGAAGTCAGTGTATAAAGGCCATTTTACACGGTCAAGTCTCTCCTACAAAACTTTGTTTGAACTCATTTTTGTAGTGAAACTTGTACCGTGTAAAAGGGTTTTGTACAGTCGCGGATCCGAATGTACATTCGACTAAGTTGAAACGCAGCTTGGTGAACGGATGTCATAAAGGAAGCAGGATTAAACACAGGATATTGAATTAAATCGACTGAGGAGTGATCATGCCCGTATGAGCGAAAGTTGAGCCGCAGTTCTTCCTAACTGCACTTAATTTTGTGTATTTAATTTATTCAAATAGGTGATATCAGTGATTTTTTTTTTATCGATTCATTACTAAGTTCCGTGTCTGATTTCAATGATGTGGGACACTAACGGATTTAATATTTTTGGGTAGAGGTCTTCAGCCCGAAAGGTTTTTAAAAATATATATAACGATTATTGAAGGAATTTAGTCGGCTATTCTACATATCGCGATAAATATTCAGGACGCAGTCATTACAACGTTTCAAACCAGACATGTGGGCCATCATCAGGGCGTGTTTCGAGCACTGAAGGTATTCAAGGACTATTAAGTATAACGCTAGCCATATAACCATTATCATTATTTGGACTCTATCCTCCTCCTCACCGAACTGCTATGTTCGATGAATCCTTTTTAATACAAGTTGTCTCCCTCTGGAACTCTATACCTTCAGATATAGCACGCAAAATCAATATCCTCTTTCAAATCTCTCCTCTTCAAAAACCTATTCTATTCCCAATCCGATTGATACGAAATGCACTTAAAAACCTAAGCTGTAAAAACCTCAAAGTACATCCATATACTCTGATTATATTGTGATTCATAGATATTTCGTTTGCTTAATTACTTTCTCTGTATATTTTATATTTATACATTTCTATTATTTATAACTATATTGTATTCCTAATCAACCTGTAAATATTAAATTGTATTTTATGGGCACACCAAAATATTAATATATATTCTGTAATTTTTCTAAAGGGACACTAGTTCCAGAATAATAAAATTATTTTCATTCATTTATTCAAACATCCGCAGCTTACGGAGTTTGAGCTTAATACGGTGTGAGTTCACCCTGCGGATCAACATGCTCTGTTCTATTCTACGTTTCACAGACTCTCACCATGAATGGAATCACACCGGTCAACAAACTGCGTCTCAACTTACACTCGGTCTTAAAGCTCTAGTGGAGGACGGAGTGGCCGAGCACATTAGGTAGTGGGTCACAGATTACCCAGTTCTAAACCTGTTGGGTTCGATTCCCATCTGGGTTGATTACTTTTCGTTTCTCGGCGGCCCCGAGAAATGGATCGTGACATTCCCACTTTGCTGAGTACGCGGCGACAAACTCAAGGTAACCGTCAGAGGTTGGCGAAAAGGACCACCATAAGTCCACTTGCCATTATTCTCCACCAGTATCAAGTATTTTACTCAAATTGAATTACTATTGGGACTTCAGTTAATCGTTTGACATCAACTGAAGTATTAATTAAATTCTTTGGTACTCAGAAAAGATCAGTATTTGAATAAAATACTTGGTACTCAGTACGAAGAGTAGCATTTGTCCATCTCTGATATCAGTAAGAATTGTAGTGATAAGAAAGACGAGGATGGTGTTTGTAAAAATTTCAGGATACGTCAGGAACTCAAAACACTTCAGGTCTAAAAAAAAAACAGTATTGCAAGTGAATTTAATTCTTATGTTTTAATTAGGCTGTTCCTACTAAATTTTAATCCCCTTCATTTGTAAAAAATCATTGCGTACGTTAGCACAGGTTAATTTAAACATTTTTTTTTCCATATTAACTATTGAGAGAATTAATAATTATTTTACCCATTGTATTTACATTGATAACTTAAGATTAAATAAATTATTACAACTAGGATTTGCACGAACCATTAAATTTGAATATCATTATCAACAGATGAAATAAAACTGTTTACAACTGTTTGTTATTGCGTTTATTAAATTGCTACCTCCTAGCGCTCTCTTACAAATAATCTATAAAGCACAAATATATGAGAAAGAGGTGACCGGTCTTTCTAATTTCACGGTTTATTCGACAAATATGCCCATTTAATTTATTATTTTTTTATAAAAGTCAACGTATATCGATTAAAATGTATACCAAGAAGTTAACTTTAAGCTGTGGCTACTTGCTCCGAATTATTTTCTTAGTCAGTCTTAAATCTGTCATTACTTTCTGTCAAGAAGAACCTAAGGCCATCGAATTAGATTCTATTTCATTCAACAAAGAAATTGGAACGAGTAATTATTTTGTTATGTTTTATGCCCCTTGGTGAGTACTATTTTAATTTTTTACATTTTTTTTTCCCTTTTAGTTAAGTTTTATTCTTATTCGGTGTATTTTCATCAGGTGTCCACACTGTTTAAAATTAAAAGATACTTGGGAAGAATTGGCTGAAATGTTAAACGAACCAGGTAGCAGAGTGACAATCGGAAAAGTAGATTGTACCAAAGAAGGGACACTTTGCTATCAACAACAGATCACTGGTTATCCAACGTAAGTAACGGCTGTAGAAATTTACATTTTTGTTTTGAAATAAATTAAATAAATACCTAACTTTGTCAAGCGTAAAGTTGATACGTAATCAACACCAGAATAATATGCTTGATAATGATCGAAGGAATAATAGTTTCTATATCTCGTTTTTTTTTCTATCAGTGAATAGGTTTATTATTTTATCAAATATTAAGTATATCCTATAAATGAGTAGTTACCTAATCAAATAAATATGTGGAGTGAAAGTGTTATGTTTGTCAGCAGCCAGTCCTTACATAAGATTTTCTCAGAGTTGTAAATGTCATTAAATAACCTAAAAAATTAATCATTTTTTGCATAAATTTGTATTTACTATTAAACTTTTAATATTCAGAAAAACGTTGGTCCGGGTTGACAGTAAAAAAAAATTAAAATAGTGGAAATTATTTTATTTAAGCTAATATTTTGACACAACTAAGCAGGTCTTATTATACCTTAAGAAAAACCCTTATTGTTTATTAATTTAAATTTATATACATATGATCTAGTTAGGTTTATTTATTACTCACTTATTTTTTTAGCTTAACACATTAGTTCTTTTAAAATTTGATACAAACATTTATTTTCAGGAACTACACCAATTAAAAATACAAAACAAACTTTGATATAAAGAGAGTATTCATTTAATGTTGACATTTCTACTATTAATAGTATTTTATATTATTCTTGACCGTTGAGTTTTGCTATTCTTACATTTCTTTTCGTCTATTTCAACTTCGATAAATATGACATTTGTTTTTGTCTATTTCATACATATATGTTGTAAAATATAAGTCTTTTGTTATTATCACATTTGTTTTTGTGTTTTTGAATTTCATAAAAAGATAGGGATTATCAGTGCCTTATCACAATTATCAATGTTCAGGTTATAAACATTAGCAGATAGGGATTATCAGTGCCTTATCAGAATTATTAGTGTTCAGGTTATAAACATTGGCAGATAGCAAAAAAATAGTCACGAGTTCACGTCCCGGTGCCAAGGCATCTTTTAAATCCCCGCCCATAACCCCTGGCCAGGGGAAAACTCCGTATAGCCTTAATGGCAAGGAAGTACAAATAGCCCAAGACAGGCAGAGATGGAGCAGGCTTGTTAAGGTGGCAAAAGATCTACATGATCTGTAATGCTAGCATAAAAAAAAAGAAGAAATTATCGAATGTTTTTAAGATTATTTTGGAAAACTTTTCTTTCAACTTTATTATCATTTTTCTCTAGAATATTCGGTTATGATATTAATCATTGTATCTTTATATATTATTTCTCAATCATATTATTTTGTGTTTATCAAATCCAATGATTGAGCCTTAATTTTGATGATTATCTTCTCCTTTAGGTGCAAAAAATAAGCACACTAAAGGGGAATAATCTATAAAAGTCAGGAGGTAAAAGTTCTTAAGAAAAGCAAACTTAATTGCCATTTAACTCAGAAACTACACAATTTTTGAAGGATATACGATTGAAAGGTTTTAATTGACCAAGAAAAATAAAATTAATTCCTCCCTTTTATAATACATTATTTACTAATTTCAATATTATATTACCGATTGTTTGCTTACCAATATACTATGTAATAATATAACTAAGAGCCAACTGGTTAAACCTATACAATAATATTCTTAAGCATTTTTTAATTAATATTTTAATTACGACTTTTCAGATTGATGTACTACAAGAAAGGTGAAGTGACGTCTTCTAAGTATAGCGGAACCCGAGACCTGTCTTCCTTTGCCAATTACCTCAATGAACAGCTTGGTACGAATATAGTTGTAAGTCAACCTAACTCCTTACAATCCTCCAATTTAATTGAATATAAACCAAAAGGTATCTCTAATAGAAAAAAGCTTTGTAGATTTTATTTTTATTGATATAATAATATATTTAATTTGTGATTAATAAATATTTTTATAAATAATTATGATCTAATGATCCTATCCTTTTGTTGTTATTAATATTTTATTTTACCATTTTATAATTGTTCAATTATTTTAATTTTATTTATATGTAACAACCTTTTTCAATTTGTATTTATTATTTAGCAATGCATTTCAATATCATTCAAATCAGTATCAGCAAGATAATAAATTACAGAGGAAGGAGATGGTCCGGGGTGGCGGTCATAAAGAGACTAAAATAGTGGAAAAACAATTTTATTTAACGCCAATGTTTCGACCCGACTTTGTAGGTCTTCTTCAGGGCTAATACGAACAAGATACAAAAGGGTATAGAAAATTGTGGAAGTTACATAATATTTAGATAAAAATTATAAAAAAGGTGAATAAACTTATTGAAATTATAAACAGTAAATAAATTGAAATATTATGAACAATAAACTATATAAACAGATTAAACTAAAATAAAATTAACATTAGTTTACTCTATATAGTTTATTGTTGTTAATATTTCAATGTAAATAATTCTGTAAAATATAACAAAGTAATGATTGATGATTGAACTTAATGATTTGTAAGAAAAAATACTGATTTATTTCTTGTACATTAATAATTAATTGTTAAATCGTATGAAATTTCAATTTTTTAGGATAACATTAATGAAATGTAAATTGGTATAAACCATTTTATTTATCAAAATATAATCCTTGGTTTCTATAAAATTCTTGTTATAAAGTTCTCCATTCTGATGAAGGGAAAAAAAAAAAAAACGGAATCTTTTAGGAAACCAAAGAGGTTTAGTAGAAATTCAGACAATGAAAAGGAACACAGTTTTGTCAAAAGTCCATTAATATCTTGAACATATGAGAAGAACGATGTAACTTTATGTCAGAAATACTCTCGGTAGACGACCAAACTGATATGATGCTAACGGCGAACTTTTTGGACTTATAGGATTTATCTATAATATTTAAGAAGAAACAATTTATTTTATTTTTTTTATAATATAAATAATTGTAACGCTCTGTTACTGAGATCTGAGTTGAGGAGATGGGTTGAAAAAATCATTAACACTGATTTTATTTTGTATTATTACTTTAAGTTTTGTTATCGATCGAATTTTTTTGTTTAATATTTTCAATAAGGAACCTTTCTGATCGATCAACAAAAAATATTCTCCATTTTATATTTGCTTCCGTTTTTGATACTTCATTCATGAAAATCTATCCCTAATCATTATTTTTTCTCTTGCAGTCGACAGTTTTCAGTTTAAAAATGGACCTTGAAGTTTTATTCTTTCCAAAATGGACACTATCATATTTTTATATTACTGTTAAAATAATCTGAGATTTTTGGAAATATCATCAGTTTATTGCAAAACATCACTAAGTAACATTTTAGTGAATGTGAGGTAATCGAATTTGAAGTTGCTGATTCGCTACAAAAATACTAAAATAGCAACTTAATTACTTATTTTTTGTTATTTGCAATTCTGAACATTTGTTCTGTTTTCAACAATTACTTAAAATACTTATAACATATGTGAACTTAAATGAAATATTTATACGTGAAATACTTAACATGAAAAAAACTGAAACCCTCATAGTGACATTATGCACGCTTATTTATAAACAAAAAGTACTTATGAACAATGCGGTTGGGATGGACTGCTGTCTGCCAATATTTATAATCCGGACACTGATAACTCGCTAAGGCACTGATAATCCCTATCATCCTATTCATATTTATTGAAATTGAAATAGACAAAAATACTTGTATTTTACATTTTATACAAAATACAACATAAATACTTATTGCATACAACGCATATATGTTCATACTCTGATTTGAAAACGCACACACATACAGACCATTTTGTGGGACTTGGTTATTTGACTCAGAAAACCTCAAAACGTGTATTTCCGTTAAAGATTCAGATTCAAAAATTTTCATGATTGCAATACTTACCCTTACTAAACATTGCATATGTAGGTAAGTGAAAGTAAAAAAGTACAAATAAGAATCCATATGGTAACCTACGGTTGTTTTGAAATAAAGTAAAATTGGCGAGTTTATTAAGATTTTAATTGAGAAATTTTGTATTATATTTAATGAGTGATATTGTACAATAAACCAATTGATCCTGCATTAAAATACTGGTAAATATTACACCGTAATTTTAACTAGCAAGATAAACGAATGAACAAATAACTTCGCTTATAATTGACAAATCTAATGATTTTATATTTTTCCATGAATTGCTTTCATATTGTTTAACAATATATATATGTACAAACAATTTATTAATAATAATAGTTTTATCACTCAAAATTACAAAACTTTATCTAGGAAAGAGTTGACTAAAATAACTATTTAAACTATATTATTATTTAACTATATATTATGGGGAATATTATTGATAAGGCTGTTCTAACAGGTTTCTCTTCTTTGAATTATCTGAGAAACTCAGTAAGAAGTCATCTGTGAGGCATCAAAGCTGTTAAGGACACCAAAGAGACCTGAAAACTCATAAATTGTGTTGATTACTGATGCAGCGTCAGTGTTACAATCACTCGGTTCGAAACGGAGCAAAAGCTTGAGAAAACTTGCTAAGGAACTTGAAAATTTGTTGTCCTTTCACAAGAAAGTTTTCCTACAATGAAAACCTAGACACTGCTGCCACTCTGGAAATGAAAGGGCAGGACAGCTGGCAAAGGAGGGGGCCTCGAGTCCGCAGTTTGACTGTAACTTCAGTCTAGATGAGGTAAAAGCTCTTAACAAAGCCAATATTGATTAAACAACAATCACATCACAATCCCAGTGTTTTTATCCATGGACTGAATTGACGAGAGCATGTCCTAATCTTCTGCCTGCAAACGAAGCACAACAGGCTCAAAGCCCACCAGTTCAGAAAGTTTAAAATTGGCTTTAGTCCCCTCTGCGAGTGCGGGGAGAGTGAACAGATGCGGACGTGCAAGATCTATTCCTCTTCATCACTTGAATCTGGGTGTGAGGGTACTCCATTCTCTAATCGCACAAAACTTTTAGGTATACTAAGTGGAAGAAGTCATTATTATAGAGAATACGGAGAAGCATTTTAAGAAATGATAGATGAGCCAAAAAAATTAAGAATTTAGCAATTTATTATAGTACGGTTTGAAAAACATAAATTTTTAACTGTCTTACCTATTTGATACAGCCCTTAAAATAGTAATTAATATTAATACACATCGTATTCAGAGATGCCTTGGCATATTGATAAGCAAGATGTATATAACCAAATAAAGTTAGATGTTAATAATTAGTTTTTGGCAAGAATAGGTGAATAGCCTTCCGCTTTTATCGGGGATTTAGGTTATTTACACTCCTGAATATTAAAACAAAATCCCGGCACTGGATATCGACTTTTTGAGGGTGTTTAACTGTGATTGGGAATTCAGGAATCTAATATCTTTTGTGACATTGCGTGAGAAGAAACAATAAGAATATATATATATGAAATGTGGGACTTAGTAAATACACTTTAAATGAATTGACTCACCTGGTTTTTATTCTTCAATCGTGAGGCATATAGGACAACTAAATAAATAAATGACTTTTCACTCCTGTATAACAAAATAATTTATTTCTACAACTGTAATAAATTAACTCTATTAAAGTGTTATAACTATAGACTTGATTTTCTAAATCTTGTAGTAGACTCTCTTCCCAGGTATGTGTTCCGCCTAAAGTCTCCCCTCCTCTCTTCTGACTACCACCTTTCTACCTGTCCCGGCCTAGAATGCCCTCTCGGCTCTCCATCTTTTGCTACCTGCTGGGTCCTTTCGGTACCTCCACCCTTCTTCCTTATTTATCGATATGAAATTTTTCAATGAGCAATTTGCCCACTGCACAATTGAGTACAATTCACAGTGCAACCTCACATTCCTATATATTATATATTCCTTCTAATTGCCTCACATAATGTCACATAAAGGAGTAAATACCGGGGGATGTCTACTACAAAGACTTGACTGAGTAGTTTTCGAAGGTTTCAGAATTTATAATTTATTAGTTAAGCCTGTGATAAGCAGGGAAGAAAACTGAGTGAGGAAAAGAAAAACCAATGAAAATTATTTTTTAAAAACTGATAAAGTGAACAAATAACTCGAAAACTGTAGACACGCTTTTCTTTAGCTCCTGCTTTTACACTACTTACACTGAAAAAAAAAGGAAGTTTTCTTCTTTACTTAATTTTGAACAGCTAATTAAAGTGAACGCACCAATTATGGGTAGATTGGACTTAAATGTAAATAATAAGCTTCCTTGTTGATTTTAAGGTTCCAGTTTTTTCCTAGATTGAAGAACAATGCCCTCTATTGACAACTGTATGAATAAAGTTCCCAAAAGAAAATTTTAAAATACCTATCATTGTTGTTTCTATAGTGCTTGTTTTTTCATATCTTCCTACTAACAGTTTTGCTAAGAGTAAGTTGAACATTTACCTTATCTTTATAGTTAAACAAAGATTTTAGAATTTTTCTGAGGTATGTCCATTACTGGGGGAGGGGTAGCTCAGTGGTAGGGTACTGAGCTTCCAATGCTAAAGGGCGCAGGTTCGAACGCCGGCTCATGGCAGAAAATTTATTTATCTGTTTCATTGGCCGTGGGGCGACCCTAGGTTGGGAGTCCCTCCTGGGGCACATCCAGCCTCTATAAAGTGGGTACCCTTAATTATATAATTAATTAAGGGAAAAACCTGGCGGTTGAGCGTGATCTCGGTCAAATCATCTCCTTGCACAACCGTTAACCTAGAAACAGTGCTTTCCCTAAATAGTACTGAACCCAAGACCCTTCATGGGTTGTAGTGGTACAGGTTTAAATGTGCAGTACTAGTA